AACTACTCTTTTAAGTGCCTTTGAAATCTGACTGTATCACCGGAAAACCTTCCCTTGTAAGCGTTGCTGACAATGTATGACGAAGTGTCCCTCGCGCAGCTGTTTGAAATGCGAGTTGTTCCGCAGCGGGTGGGAGTCCGTCAACGACAGCCTGGTGGAGGAGCGGCCCCTCGTGCTGTCGACTCCGCGGGTGCTGCCGCTGGACGGGCCGCTGCCCATGCCGGCCGCGGACAAGCTGACCGACAACCTCATAGGCGGCGCGCCCACCCTGGAGGGCCTGGCCAAGGGCGGGATCTGCATGGGGCTGCGCGTGCGCTGCGCCCCCAATATCGACGGCACCCCGTCCACCTTCCTGCACCAGCCCAGCCGGCAGGCCGCGACCGCGGCGCTCTCCGCCAGCCAGGCCGCCAGCCTGGGCCTGTACGCGTGGCCGTGGCACGCCGAGATCATGGCCGAGGGCATCCCGATCGGTGGCACTGGCGCCCTGGTCACGGAGTCGTGGGTGATGGCCTCTGCTGAGTCACTTGTCGGCGTCGAGTGAGTATGCGCTGTACTTTTGGATGGGCTCGTTCATGCCGGGCCATGCTATTTACTTGGTTCATTTGGTCATTTGACGTGGTCCTACTGCATATTCAGATTGAGAAGCTGTATTTTGTTTTTGAAATTTATATCTTTACTTTCCCGCAGCCCCAGCCGCGAGTACCTGACTGTGCTGCTGGGTGGGCCTCGCTCTGAACTTGGCGTGACGGGCCCCTACGAGCAGGCCCGCCGTGTCGACGCGCTCGTCCCCATCCCGAGCTCGAGCGCCGTCATGCTGCATCTGGATCGCCCCGCTGTTCTCACCAGGCACGTCCGCCCCACAGGTGAGAGAGTCTCCAGACGGGCCAGGCACCCTCCTTAGGAATCGTGCATAAATTAGGTCATTCTAAGGGAGTGGGTTACTGTTCCACTGCACTTGCCGTAACTATCGGAGGCACGATAAATATACCCCCAGGGGTGACAAGTTTTCCATTGGTCAGGTTTACTTTCTGAAATGCAGATGTGATGTGAAGAACCGTGAATTCAAACTTATCGAAATTATCCTCTGAAAACGATGAAATTTGGGTACAAGTTTGGTCATTGCCCCGGACCCGTCGCCTGACTCTTACTTGACCCTTTCCTGTCTAGGCCTACCCGAGTGGTACGCGCTGGCGAACAAGGCTCTGAGCTGCGTCGCGGTGGGCCGCGGTTCGACGGGGTCCTGGGAGACCGTCCACCTCAAGCACCTGGCGTCGTGCAGCGAGGGCGCGGGCTACGGCAGGACCTGCTTCCTGGGGCCGGACAGCTCATCGTGTGCCAGCGGACAGCACCTCCGGGGAGCGGTAAGAGCATGCCAAATGCGCACACAAGCGCACCCAACGCGCCGCCACTTTCCTCCCATAAAGCTGAAACGCAAAGCCAACAACTCACCTGTTGTGCGCTGTGCGCTTCTAGGTGCCGTGGAGCGGCGTCGTGGCGTGCCGGACGCACTCGGGGTGGCACCCGACCGCAGTGTACAGCGTACCGGACCAGTGCGGCTTGACGGGCAAGCAGGCGTTCGACGCAGTGCACTTCATGTTGAGATACGTTAGAAATACCATTGGTGAGCCGTCGCCTCTCATATTGAGATTAATTCTCCGTTCCTATCATTTACTCACCACTTTTTTGACCTTCTCGTGCAGATGGAGTGACAGTGGTGCAGCCCTCGCTCGCACCGTCGTGCGCTGGGCTGCGTTGTCCGCTTGGCCGATGCTTGCCGCCGTCCTCGGTGTGCAACGGCGCTGCGGAGTGCCGCTGGGCTGCTGACGAGAACATAGCAGTGTGCGGAGCCCTGAGGAAGGCCTGTGAGCCTGGAGGCCAACCCCAGAGTTGTGGTGAGTTTCTTAAACTCCTGTAGGATATGTTGTCCGGTTGCGCACTGTTGTCACGGTGAGCGGCCTATCCATTGTACCAGGAAGGCGCTGGGTGCCTGGGAGGTGGGCAGGCCCGTTGCGCTCCAGTGTATCGCTGTGTGGCCTATCCAGTCCCGGGCAGGCGTTGAGCGCC